TGATAGTCCCTGCTGAAACACATGAAAGATGTTTCTGTTCACCATGTTGGCAACAGGTGAGAAATCGCCATAATTTTGTTTTCTCACATTTGCTTATAAGAGAGTTTTAAATTTCTAACTTCTCTTTATAATCTAACTCTGACCTAAGTGGTCCATTTTGCACCTTTGTATAGACAGAGGAACAGACAATAAGAGAAAAAAAGAGATTATTTTATTCAAGAATCAAATGCAAATTTAATTCCTCTACAGCTCTCATATTGTACTCCTAAATCATAAGTCAAACAGAAGAGCATCATTCACTAAAAAATAACACCACTCCTCAAAACTCATTTATCTATCTGTGCAAACAAAAGGTACTCAATAACATCAGCAGCAATACAGAGCAATACAACTCTCCCTAAAAGCAGATTTTGTGGTGACTAGTCAGATGAATCACTCCCTATAATTCATCAAGGGGACTCAAAATATCTCAATTTTATGTGTAATTTAAGAAAAAAAAAGAAATAGATAAGGATGAAAGTAATGACCAATTTCTATCAGAAATTATAAAAAAATAAATAAATTGGGCTTTATCTCTGAATTTGTTTTTTTTTTTTTTTTTTTTTTTTTTTCCACAAATTTAAATAAAAAAATTAAAAAAAAAAAAAAAATGGGTTTTTTTTTTTAATTTTTTTTTTTTTTTTTTTTTTTTTGCTGCTGCCACAAATTAAAATGAACAAATTCAAGAAGTAAAAGAAACAGTGTATTCATATGCAAGGGCTGGGTATGGGGAAAATATGTACAATTAAAAAATGAAACCAGATACCTAACAAATGCAAGTTACTTCTTTCTGCTTGGCATAATAGTTCCATTGTGATCCTGTTGTACTTTTTTTCTGAAAGATAAATAACAAAGCCATAATCTTTTATCTGACCTTTATTGGTCTTTGACTTCCAGTGAAAACAGACTTGGATTTAGTCCAGCCCCTGCTTAAAAATTCAAGCTTTCTTCCTTGCAGGTGTGTGAATATCAGATTAATTTTCAGTGGTTTAAGTGAGCACTTTTTAAACTAGTATTAGATGTCATAAAACAGTAAATATTGTTCAGTATCCATTCATTCAGCAGCTAGGTAAGACTTTGTATTTTCCATGCCGTATTTCCTTTCATCGCCTTTTGTTAAGGCTCTCAGTTAAAAACCAAACAAAAAAAAACCCCAAACCAAACCTAAACCCACATTTGACTAAACTTCACTGGGAAATTAAACAAGTGTTTTTTTTTTCTGTGCATATGAAATGACCAACCTGATCAATCAAATGTTGAATACTAGAAGAAATAAGTCTGCTAAATGGATTAGCAGTGACAGCGTGGATCAATATAACTAAAAGGTAAGACTTTTAAAATACCTTTTATTTGCTTCATTAATATCATAGTGAAAGTCCCAATCAAGTCTAATCAGAATCAGACAAACACATCACTTCTGTACAGCTAAATCGAAATCAAGCAATATCAATCCTCTATATCAAAAGCATTTCCTTAAAGTGCTATAATAGTGGAGCAGGAAGATATTTAAAAGGCTCTTTGCAGCTTCTACTGCTATGATTTCTGAGAGGTGCACTCAGAAACAGAAAATTTGGATTATTTTTCCCTGATAAGGAAAACGGTTAGTCACTTCATGTTTTATTAATTGAGAAAAAAGAGCACACTTATTTGCAGCACGTTTATCTCATTTCATAAAGGTCCTCAGCACAGCAGCAGTCCAAACTATTTAAGTGTAGCTGGCTGTGTTCATCTATTTTGTTTCCCTTCAGCAAATAAATGGAAGACTCTGAGTGAGCTATTTTTTGTATTTAATACATTAATTGTTTTACCAAAATCATTACCAAATGACACACCGTGACTTGGAAGTAAATTTGAAGTTACATTACTCTCATATTCAGTGAGAAAATCATGGAGTTTCAGATGAAGAGTTGGCAGAGGCAATCAGTATCACATGCAAAACCATTCTAATAGAAAAGAACTGAAATTTCTCTTCTCAAAATGAGCTACAGGATGATAAAAATTAAAGAATAAAATAAACCTTAAGAATGATTAATAGTGTGTTTATACCAAATTGGAATACACTACAGGAGGATTTAAAAGAATAAAACCCATTCTATCTCAGTTTAATGCTCTGGTCATGCATTCTCCTAAAGTATCCATCAGAATGGCTTTACTCTCAGAACAGGTGTCTCCAACTCCCTTTCTCGGATCCTCTTTCCTTTCTGCCTTTCAGAGCTTGGGATCGAGTCTTTGGAACCAGAACTATCACAGGCACTAAAGATGTAGCCTTCTACTGGTTCCACCAAGAGCTGAGCATTTGTATTTTTCCTTTTTTAAAAACTTCACTTGTTGATGAAGTAGGCAATGCCTTTTTTAAAGTAAAACTGTTCAATTTAGCAGCTGAAATAAAGGCATCAAAGAAAAAATATTTTAAAGCAATTCAGGAAATTTTAAGTGCCTGTTTAGTTCCATCTAACCAACTAAACTTAACATACTATCAAAATTAAATTAAAAGTTTTTAAATTACATGAACACATAGAAAATAATTTACTCTGCTCTCACTTCACTTTTTAGTACATTACTTTTAGATAATTCAGGGAAACTGGATTCTCAGACAAATGAAAACCTACTGCATTATGCCTTTGCATTGTAACTGTCATACTATTCCATAGTGTCTTAAATAGCAATTTGTTTTATTTCTGGTCTTTTTTCTTCACCACCAATTTCTTCAGGGAGCTGGCCTGGATATCTAGGATATTTGGACACCTAGGAGAATATCTCTACAGGATTTTCTTCATTGTTTTGTAGTTAGAATGCTCCAGGTAAACAACCTGTACTCACTGGCCTAGAGACCACCTCCTTTGTATGTTTTACCTTCCCCTCTAGAATTTCACATTGTGTTTAATAAACCACTTATAAGGTTCAGATGAATATAACTGCCACTGCCAATCCCTGTAGCATTTGTCACAGTGTCCAAGCACAAAATAATTAGGTGTGAAGAGAGCACTTCAGCTTATTTCTCTGGGTTCCAGACAACCCTGTTTAAAGTGCTATACTGCAAACTGCTCTGATATTACAGAAAGGATGTATACAAATCCTGAGGATGATATCACATCACATATAACAGATGCTTCACAGCAGAGGTGATAAAGATGGATCTAACAGAGGCAAGCTAGCACCAGACTGAAAATGGTATAATGGTATTAGGCAGAAAGAGCTTGCTGTTAAGATGGCTAAAGTACTGTCTATATGATACAACCTAGGTCTAGTGCCTCAATATTATTGTTTTTCAGAACAGACATGCTGTATGACAGCTTGGTAAAACTGGCATAACGCTAATTCCTTACCTCTCATTCCTGTCCTTTCCTTTCCATTGTGTGCTATTTGAAGCAACATTTCCACTCACAAATACAGGTGCATTGTCTAATACGGCATGGATTTGAGTGTGGTTAGGAAGGTACGTACAACTGCAACACAAACTTGCAAGATGCAATATTAAGGCTGGGTCAGATTTCCCCTACCAGGGTGACATAAAAAAGGGATTTAAATATCATTAGTCTTACTGGGCAATACTGTTAGAGGAAACATCAGTTCTGCTCTTACTTTACCATAAAAATGAAAATATCCAATTTAAAAAAAGAGAAGCACTCACTAGGTTGATACACATTTATAACCACTTTTTAAGATGTGATCACAGCTCAGTTACACTCACAGCTTAGTTTGAGAGTCAACGATCTCAAAAGCCAGTCATTCTTGCTCAAAGTACTTAGAACCTTGCTTTTGTATTTCACAATAAGAATCTGAAAATTTTTCATTTTGTTTACTACGAAGGGAGATTATGACTTTTACAATGAACTAGGTAGATTGTTCTGCTTTATTCCACTTCTAGGTCATAGTGTCTGGTGCATACATAGGTCTTCATGTGACTTTATGTCAAGCTTCAGAAAAATTAAGTGCTGTATAAAAGCAAGTTAGAACCTTAGTAGTCCCTTTGACTTTCTGTTTTTCCACTTATATTTCAAACTCATAAAGAGGTTTTTGTGTGTTACCTTGACAACTAAATCTAAATTACTCTGTTACAAGTCTACACCACTCCAGCCACTTATTTGTTTTTATAATGCATAGAATTCAGTGTGCAATTCCCAAAGTACTGTAATAATTATTATTAAAAATTGTTATTGCACATTATTCTAGTACTTAATAGGCAATAATTTACTAAAACATGCTAATGCAATCAAAGGCAATCATCTGACCATAGCCACCTTCTCACAATGTAAGTGCTTTGCAGAATGGACTTTGTCTACAGAGCACCTGGTAGACAGGCATTGCAAAATGCTGAACCCCGAGGACAGATCTGAGCTCTTTATTAAGACAACAGTACAAGGTAATTAGAGGTAATAATTACGCGGATGATTACAAAGAAATAAACATGAAACTTTCTGTATCTATGACCAGTTTGGATACCAAGCACTAAAATACAGGTATCAGCCCAGAAAAGCATATTTCCATTTATTATTTATTTATTTATTTATTGTATATAATGCATTTATGTTATCATATCTAAATATTTTTTTTCAGACACTGAAGATTCCAATTAAAAAAGTTTGCCTCAAGAATTCAACTTTACACTTTTCTGAATTCCATGTACATTTCAGCATCTCTAGCTGGATTAAATTCAATAGTACAATGCTATAATTCAACAAAGTATGAAAAAAGTTCAGATGAATTCATGTAAACTATGAATAAATCTTACTGTGCTCATTCCTACAACCTTCTCAGCTGCCTCAGAGTAAGAACCTAGCATTCCAGGGCCCCATGTTGGTGACTTTTTAAGTACGGAATTTTACAGTATAAGCACTTAAAAATCAACTAAACAAACATGCAAACAACCAACAGAATTAGGGTAGTCTTACACTTTGAAGCTCAAAATGGGAAGAGAACTTACATAGCTTACACCATGTTTTTACTATTAATTTGCTTACCGTGTTAGTTGAGTTTCCATTTAAATGTAAGCCACTGTCAAAGAGAGGTGATGAAGCTCCACTGCTATGATCACTGGATGGTCCAGGGGAACCTGGAAATCAGATCATGACAAATAAATACTTTTGTTAAAGCGACATGTAGATATCAGAAAATATCTATTCCAGCTGTAAAACACAAGAAGAATTTTCAACATGATTCACCACACCAAGACAGAAATACTACTTGCATTTAAGAAAGATAGTCAATAGAAAGTCTGTATGCTACGCTTAATGTCTAGAAAGAAAAAAGGTAGCTAGGTATCATCTTATAAAGGCTGTGCTCATGAGAACTATTTGTATGCTTAACTGTCTGCAGGATTAAGCCTTTTTTTTTACTGAGAATGAGATATTCAAAACCAAATGAGAAAGTCAGTTACACAAAACCCATTAATTTGATAAGTAAATTGCCTACCGAGTCTTGAAAGTCTCCACTTGAGTATAGCCATGGACTGTATTTATAAACAAAGCTAACAGGAAACTTTCAGGCAAATACTAACTGGACACATAACTTTATTAACAGATATATCTTTTCCTTAAAATGCCAATTACTTTCAAGAAAGATGCTCCTTCTCAAATTCAGAAATTGAAAGCAAACAATCATCCTGAATTGCTGATACTATGTCAATACGCTAAGACTACACAGTTATACTCTTCAAAATATCTCTCCTTTTAGCAGTTATGCACCATGATCCTACTTTAGTAGTTAAAAGTGACTCCAGGAAAGCTTAAGGCTTTTGCAACATATAATAATGGAAACAGCACAAAGTCACATCACTGTGTAATTTCTGCTTAAATGTAAAATGTTAACAAATAGCACCAATAATATACAATTACTGTCAGACAGCACTTGGTCTTATCAATAACACACATAAATCAATTGCACAGCATTATATTCATAATCACCAAAACCACATTTTTCCATCTAAAGAATTCACCTGAAATTGTCTGTAAATCATTTCACATTATAGGCCTGTCAAGTCTAACATCACAGAAGTCAAAAAGGCATTCTTAGTCGTATATTTTTGTATGTATCTATTCTATATATCTTGAAGATTTAGCAAAATGGAACTAAATTCAACAAAAGTGCATTTTCTCCATTACAAATATCTGTCAGTTCAGTGCTGAGGTCTAAGAATTCAGCTTATCTCTGAGGTCTCTGAATTTCAGCACGTTTTTGTTAGGAGTCCTTTCTGTACAGTGCTAGATGATGTAAGCAGAAGGAATCATTATGCTTTGCTCTTGTGCGTCTAAGGCAAGCACCGACCTTAGTAGCTACAACATTTTGTAGGTCCTTATACATACAGTAGACCACAAAAACCAAGTTCATACTCATAGATGACCACAGTGACTTGATGAAACAGAAGAAAATGTCTAAATTTTTAAATAAAAATACTGAAAAAAAGTTGGCACTAAATTCTTCACTGAAGAGTCTGCCTGCTGGGCAATCCCACTGTCTCCAGCAGTAGACAACTATCACAGGTCCATGAGTCAAACAGGTTCTGAAAGTGGAATTATTCCACCTATTCAGCAATTTGAGCATATCAAAAGACATGAACTTAGGTATTTAAAAATCCCTAAATCCAGGGCTTACCATGACATAAAATACTACAGCAGAATAAATAAACAATTATTTTTTAAGTAGAGAAAACTGATATCCATCACATGAGAAAGCTAAGAATAAAAGGTTAAGGAAGAAATTTCCCTCCTCCCACAACGTCCCAGCAGACTTGCTTTTCAATTCAGCAGTTTTCTTTCATTTTCTGAGTCACAACAAACTACACAGCCTCTCTCAGACTATGCCACGTCTACCACTTGATTGAAAACAAATTCACAAATCTTTTAGTCTGCTCCCTGCCTTTTCTGCCTCACTTACTCGTGGACTGCTCCTTAATGACCTCATTCAACATTTTAAAAACTTCCATGCATATACTCAACTACTTTCATGGAAGGTGCAGTGCTCTCATCTCTCCAAAGAACTCTGTCTTCTTGCATGGCAGCCCTAGAGTAATCAGGTAGTCTTTCCTCCCTGTTCTTACAACAAAACACAGTATGGACATACACTATCTGCTACCGCAGTTCTTGCCTAAGCAGATGAGACTCCCAATGAAGTGGAAGGCACCAGTCCAAGCTCTGGAACAATAGTTTGAGACAGGCTATCAGAGTGTTTATGTAAAATGAAACATCTGCTACAGATAACTCCCCACTCCATGGCCACAATAGAGTATCCTGCTGGGTACTGATGTCAGAAAAATAGGTATTTGGTATGTTGTGAGATTTCCAGCAATCATTACTACCTAGATGTTCTTTTATCCCACCCAAATCATAGACAGTCAGCCTAAGAAAAATCAAACTTACTCTAGGGCAGGCATTATCTGTTTGATTTGCTTATTCTCAGCTGTGGCTTGTTCTTTTGAGAGAGCTGGATTGGCAAGTATCCTGTGGGAGAGGAAAAAACCTTTGCCTGATCTTTACCTTTGCTTCAGCAACAGCTGAGTATGCTCAGAGGAAAAAAACAAACCCACACAACATACCCTGTAAAGTGAGAAGGGGTCAGAGAGACGGCAAGGATATGGGAGTCTGCAGTTCATAACACTGAGACACCCCAGGGGGTAGCATGAAAAAAAAAAAGCAGAACTACATGGTGAGGGAAAGAAACTTTGTAAGGATCACAGGGGATTTTGAAGAACCAGCAGTAACTCAGGAAATCACCAAGTTAGCTGACACTAAACCTAAAACGAGAACACATTTACTGTGGAACAAGTAGGAGCTGTTTATAAATCCTTTTATAACCCTTTAGAAAGAATCATTACGATTTTCAATTTAAAAAGTAAGGCATTCTACTACTTATTTTAATAAAGCCTGGATTTTATTTTTAATGTCAAAAGCCTTAGGCTTTCCAGATCTAGAAATATCTCTATGAAAGTTCTGGTCAACTTAGAGTCCCCTCAACAAGGGGGTGTTTATTTCAGTCTGCGAATTACACTAAATCTCTAAATAACAAACAACCCTAAAAATGCACTACAGCAGATCAATGTACAGCAAGCAGTCAGCAAGACTTTACTATTTAAAACAATCTGTCTTGTGGTTAACATTACTGAATAATACCGGACACCTCTTGTATATAAATAAAAACTCATTTATTGAACTTGCTAATCATGTCATAGGCAAACTCCAAAAGACAAAATTAAAATCAAATGAAACTATCCTGATGATTTTTAATCACACTGCAAGCTTTGCAAATTCAGAAAAGTCTGATAATTTAGTATAACTATCAAATAGAAAAATTTTGAAAACAGTCTGTTTTACCATAAAATATCCTGAAGACTTTTCCCAGCAGCACTGAATCTTCTGTTACTCTTTTCCTTCCTTTGTGGGTAACTTAAAACCAATGATTTGTGTTTTACTACAGCTAGTATATTGTTTGTTTGTAATGGATGTTTTCTGTGGAATGGGTCTTTGTTCTGGGTATTTTAGTGAATGTTTTTCTTGGTTGTATTTTACTCCTGTAAAACCTTTTGCCAAAATGTCTTATTTTTCTCACTAAATTAAAAGAATTTCTCTTAGACAAAAATGTGTAGTTTTTCTCCGGATGCGAATTCGAGGTTATAACAAACTAAAAGGCTTTTAAAAAGTCTTAAAAAAAAAAGTAACCGCTCTGGACAGCTTATGGCTTAAAATCCAGAGAGTGACACCCATGACGTACGAAGAGGGCACCAATATTCCTGGACCTGCAAGAAGGGTGGCAGCCAGCTCACGTAGAGTGTGTACTGGGTCTTAGTGCAAAGGCTTTGGGGGTTGGGGTGCTTCCAGGGGTGGGACATAGTCGGGGCTGCCCTGTGCCTGACACAGATGGTTCCAGCCAGCTCCCACTGGATCCACTCAAGGGCTCATCTGAGTCCTGCAGATTAGCTGGTAGCACTTCTGGGAAACTGTTTAAATAAAGGGCAAAATGCAGAAGAGCAGTGACAGGAGTAAGGAAAAGAGTGAGAAAAAAAAAAATCAAACGAACCTCAAGGTCAGTGAAGAAGGTGATAGACAGTCTTGTTTTTGTTTCTCACTGCCTGAATCTATTTTAATAGGCAATACATTTACCTAAGTTTCCTCATGTTGACTGCTTTGGCCATGATGGTAAATGATAAGTGATCTTTAATGTATCTATCCTGACCTAAGTGCTTTGTCATTCTGTTTTCTCCCCTTGTTCTGTTTGAGGACGGAGTGAGACAGAGTCTGAGTGGGAGTTTGGCTCTTAGCCAAGGTTAACCAAGCAAGTGATACAGTTCAAGTATGTGATGTCAATCTACAAGATGAGATACAAGTGCTAGTAAGACTACCATAACCACAAATTAATATGTCCAACAACACAGAAACTACTAGTAAGATGTTGCTAACTTGCCAAAATCATGTTTAACCTTGGGCATAATTATCCAAGGTATTATAGACATTAGTCTTATGATCTAGTTGGAAAAGTAGGAAAACAAAAGAAACACTGACTATACAAAATCTCAAAATGTAAACATAAGATTTCTTCAAATTTATGTTCCATTTTCAAATGCAAATGATAAGCAGTGAGAACTGAAATAAAGGTCTTAGCATGAAAGGTATAGTTCAGCTTAGTAGAGGCCTGTCAAGTTGGCTTTTTAGTAGTGTAAGAACCCAGATGAAATGATCGGTGCTCTTGTAACAGCAAGAGCTAGACTATGACACCTATGATTCTGTTGAAATCAGGAAAAAAAACAAGTACCTGGTTGACCCCAACTTAAATAAATCCAAAGAACAAGACACATTTCAAATCTTTTTGCTTATTTTGGAAAGAGAATAATCTCTTATAATAAACTGGTGCAAAATTATTTGATCTGATTAAGTCAGCTGATATGAACACTTTTCTACTTGCAACATTGATCACAACTGTGCAACTTGAATATTTTATCTGCTAACCAGAAGAACTCAAAATTTCCTTTGGCTGCATTTGTTCATACACAATTTGGTATTGCTACTGTTAAACTACACAGTTGTCACATCATAATTCTGCTCTATGACAAAACCTATCAAAATAGTAAAGAAATTTATGAAATATACATAATTAATGTTATCCATTTGTTTGGTGTCCTAAAAGTACCTTTCAAGGTCAAAGTATGATTCAAATGTTTGTAAACACTATTTTATTGTATTCAGGCAAAGCTTCTGTTGAAAAACTTTCAGATATCACCCATGACTGTACTGCATTTTAATGAATTTTTTTCAGTTTTATTTTGAATAAATTGCACATAAACAGTAAGGCAGTATGCATTAGATTATTACATGTTAACCAGTAAAGTAGACAGACAATTTTCTACTTCTTTCTATAAAACACTCAAGGATTGAATTCCTATTTCTGTCACTGTCAGTTTATTATGAGAATACCGCAAAGAGGAAAACAAATTACTCCTATCTGTTAATTTCCTCTTACCTAATGGGAGCTTTAAAAATGATGGAGCTTCCCTGAGGTACTGAACGGTGATGGTAACTTCATCGCCAGCATTTCGCAGTAGGTGTACCTGTCAGTGTGATAATAACAGCTACTTTAAACCAAAGAACCATCACTCATGGAAAGAACATTACTTACAATGAAATCAACATTCCTGTTGATCTATAATAAACTCAGTATACATATTTCTGAGTAAGAATGTAGAATAGCTTTTGGCTCAAGCCACATCAATGATGGAAAAGAGTAGGCAAGACCAACCTGGAATAACCTGAATAAATAATTTGCTGGACAAACTCATTTTATACACCAGCTGAACACAACTTCCACAAAGTGATTTTATAAAACTGCCATAGGGCAGTAGGGAAATATGTGTTTATGTAGATATAACACATTAATTGTGTGTGTATACAGACAGACACATAAAGATACATTGACATATTATAAATATCTTGATCTTAAGTATTTGGTTTGATTGATTCAGGTAACACATTAAGCACACTTTGGTTCTTCAAATATAGTCTTGATTTTTGTGTCTTTTTTGTCTGTGAGCATTTGCTAACCAAAAGGGAACACACACCTGCACACACAACCCCACATCCCCATATAATGTTTTAAACCATCAGAATTTACTTTGAAGCATGACACACTACTACGTAAGGTGCCTTTTTAAATGCAGAACTACAAATAACTTCTCTAATGGAACTCCATTCCTACTACAGGGCACAGGTATTCTCCAGTTTCATATCCATGACTCCTAGGAACATTTTTCTTTTTTTCTCTCTTTTTTTTTCCCCCGAGGCTCAATCTGCATTTAAATGATTTACTACAAAAACAGCTAGTGCTACATACTCACCCCCAGAATTCTGAGTGTTGTACTCAAGTCAAGATTTTGTGGACAATTGATTAAAAGAGAACCTGAGGTTCCTTGTGGGAGAAACCATTGCGGAAAAAAAAATCATGATCACTGATTTCTGACTAAACCATCTCAAGATAATACAATAGGAGTAACCAGGAACAAAAGCACAGCAAAATTAGAATGCTTCTTTAAGGCCATACAAAAGTGTGACAGGGCTACAAAGCAAACCAATATGTCTTGTTCTAAGGTGTAAGAAAACTATGCCTCCTGAAATCCTCTGCCTCTTGTTTCCTGCAGTATTTTAGACATCATTTATTACTTACTAAGGACTGAAGACGATTTCTAGCTCTGCTAGTCCTACCCTACTGTTACAAAGACAGTTTTTCCCTTTATCTTCAGACTAATATACACATATATGTCTAATTTATATATATATATATAAAAATAGATATATTTATATACATACATGCAAATCTTTTACTCAAGGTTCAATTATAACATAATTTTTAAATACTTCTGACATTCTGCAGTACTTAGATTTTTTTTTAAATTTTAGTGTCTGATTTGAAGATTATGGACTTTTACTTTAATCATGAATGTTATTATTTTTAAGGGAGGTAAAGCTCAATAGACTAAATTTAATTAAAATACATTAAACTAGAAATCCCAGACTGAGAGAAGTCACTGAGAGAGGCTCTGAAGAGAAGGACTTGAGATTTGTCATGGATGAAAAGCTGGACATGAACCAACAGTGTGTGCTCACAGCCTAGAAAACCATCTGTGTCCTGGGCTGTGCTGAAAGAAATGTGGCCAGCAGATTGAGGGAGATGATTATAGACCAGTTTGAACAGGACCACAAGAGCCCATGAAGATGACTGGAGGGCTGTAGCACCTCTTCAATGAAGACAAGCACAGAGAATTGAAGTTAGTGAGACTGGAGAAGAGAAGGTTTTGGGGAGACCTTAAAGCAGCCTTCCAGTACCTACAGGAAGCTTATAAAAATGAGGGAGAACAACTTTTTATGTGGACAGTTAGTGATAGGACAAGGGGAAACAGTTTTAAACTAAAAAGGAAGAGATTTAGATTAGATATTAGGAAGAAACTCTATACTGTGAGGGTGATGAGGCACTGGAAGAGGTTACCCAGAGAAGTTGTGGATGCCTCATCCCTGGAAGGGTTCAAGGCCGGGATGGATGGAGCTCTGAACGTCCTAGTCTAGTGGAAGGTGTCCCTGCCCATAGCAGGAGGGATAGAACTAGATGATCTTTAAGGTCCCTTCAAACTTAAGTCATTTTATGATTCTATGATCTACAGATTAGGCTTGCTTTGTTCAAAAAATGAAACAGGCTGTTACAATAGTCATATTGGACCATACATGAAAACACAGTTCAAACATAAATACAAGAAATTCTGTGTATTTCATCTATAAGTGTATCTCTACATAAACTGATCTAAGAGGGAAAATACCCATGATAAAATTTGAAGAAACTTTTACCATATAATTGTATATGTTAAAATTACACTGCAGTCACTTTTCTGTCTCCAGTTGACGAATTTGTCTTCCTAAACTTCATTAATATCTGCACCAGGCCTAGAAATGAACTGATGCTCTTCTTGTAGCCCAGTCACACCATCTCATGACTTGCGCTAAACTAAATTCCAACGAAGCCTTCACTACTATGTCAAATGCTTTTAAATGTGACCAAAATGTTTATAAAAGACAGTAAAACAATTTTTTTCTACACTGTACTGAGAGAACCACTGAATTTTGGAGTCTATGATCAACAAAGACTAATTGGAAATATTTTCTACGAGTAAATGTAAAAATTAGACAAATAATGAATTATTCTATTTAAAAAAGTAAATAATTAAGAAATTATATATAAGAACTTCAAATAGCCGATGTGCTTTACTTCATAATTTTCTGTATAATCAGGTAGTGAGGTTTACATAATTAAAAAAATAACAAGTTGTTTAAATCCCTGACCCCTACATAAAGGTTTCTTTAGTCTAAGAAGTGGAAAGACATTTGGCCTGTTCCTTGAAAAAAAATCCAAGCTTAGGCCAAGTAGTATGGCTGAAAAAATTCAACAAGTCAATATGCTGCAGGCAGTCAATGCTGCCTCATTGTCAGCACATGGGGTTAACAAATGCCTTGATGTGAAATCAGGAAGGTGACAATCATGTACAGGGTTTGGGTATCCCCGTATGGACAGTGGGGGCTGCAGGGTGTCTCTGTGAGGATACACCAGGGCTGTGCCGTGCCAGACACAGCCAGTTCCAGTGGCTCTGACCCACCCACCCTAGGACACGGCTCAGGGAGAAGCTGAGGAGGTGGGAATGAAGAAGTGAAGTTGAGCTTAGGAAAAGCGGCGGGAGAAAGATCGTGGCTGAATTTTTTCATCTGTTTCTCAATATCCAAATCTATTTTAACTAGCAATAGAGTTAATTAATTTTCCCTAAGTCAAGTCTATTTTGCCCATGATGGTAATCAGCAAATGGTCTTCCTGTCTATTTTGACCAAAGAGATTTTTCATTCTACTTTCTCCCCCATTCCCACAGAGGAGGAGTGAGCAAGCAGCTGGGTGGGCATTTGGCCCTTGGCCTGGGCTGACCCACCACCATGGTTTCAAGACATTTTTACAAAATGAAAGTTAAAATTATAAAGGAATAAGTGCAGCAATGTTATCCACATGGTCTATGTTCAGTGAATCCAGCCAGGGTGCAATAATGCCAGAAAGGTTACATGGTAGGAAGAGAAAAGGAGACTCAACTTATTCCCTTCCAAATTAAAAATGTCAGAAAGTCAGTATCAGGGAAGGGAGAAGTCAGAGTTGGCAGGAAATACAAGATCCATTTATAAAATGATACCTCATGATACCACTTTACTTTTTATTGCATAGTAAACACATTAGAAATGCTGACTATAATCAGTTCAGCAACATCAGTGTTTTATAAAATTAAATAGATAATTTCAAGACCAACGAATATAGTCACAATACCATCCTGATAAATGTAATAGGAAGAAATATAAACCAAATAAAATTAATACTGACAACTCACTTTCTTACTCACAATCGTATTTTTAGATAAGCCAGAGAAGTGAAGCATTTTAATTTTGACTTTGGAATAACAAGGAAGAATTTTAACTTCTTAATAGATATAAACATTTTGAAGAAAACTTTAAAACACAGAAGAACAATTGTGTTTCCTCTTAATTAAGCAAAGAATGTTTGCACACAAACATTTATATTTGTCAAGAGATGAAGGAGATAGCAAGACAGACATACTGCCTAACATACTTCTGGAAAATCTTAGTCAAATATTATGAAGATAAATTAAATCCAAAAACTGTATGGAACAAAACAAGACAGTAGATTAGAAACTGTTGCAGAGTATGAAATTTGACTTTTATTTCAAAGGATATTTTGAAAAGGAAAGAACACTAAAATTAATGCTTTGGTTTAAAATTACCAAACAGTAATACATTAAAAGATATTCACACTGTATCATACTCTCCTGAAGCTACTTTGTATTCTTAGGTAGTGCCTGAAGAGGTGGTAGCATTGAACCACACACATAATAACAAAACTAAATCAATGTCAGTGCTCACAAGAAGGTTTTAACAGTTGGAAGGTCACTAAATAATGCACTGCTCTGTGCTTAGCACAAGTCAAGTAAGCCCAAACAAGACAAATCTGGTATCTTTGGAGTAACAGTCACTGTTGCACTCTTGCCTTACTGTAGTATTAATATAAAATAAGGATTGTAAAAGTGACTGTAAAATAAGATTATAAAAGGTTTTGGTGCTTTTTAAAGGCTGATTAAATGCTTTTACTGCACCTAACCATGTGTGTATGCACTTACTTGTGTGTTCACACGTATGAAGGAAAAAAGAGCATCAACTGAAATGTTTGCTTTTCATGCTGGCTCCAATTTGCAGATTTTGCATATCTCTTAAGTGCATTCATCAAGCCAGGGTTTGTTATGCTTCTCTTTCTCACATACATTTCTCAAGAACAGAACAGAGAGAATGTTAAAAATATAAATAGAAGATTCTATATCTCACTTAGCTAACTACAGTACAGAGTCTGCAGAAAAAATTATGACCCATATTTTAGGAAAACCAAATTACTTTCTTTGCCTCATTTTTAATGTCCAATTTAACATCCAATTTAGGGAAATGCTATATACCTATATGCAGACAAGTCAAT